CTTACTACTACTACACACACACACACACACACACACACACACACACACACACACACACACACACACACACACACACACACACACACACACACACACACACACACACACACACATTGTGAGTCGTGTTAAATCAGCTGTTCTGCATTGGCCACCGTCACACCCAAAACAGATGAAATATGTCTTTTACTCCAACAGCCTCCCCCTCACACAGGATTGATGTCGAACTTCTAAACACAGTCGGATCAAATAGTTTGGGAAGTCTTTTGAAGTCATGGTTTTCAAAAGTATATGTGGCATTCACTGCATGTCGAGCAAAGGCATAAATAGCTCAAAAAGAAAAATACAACGTTGAAATCCAATTCCAATCTGAATGGATTTACATAACTCTGAAGACCCGACAGCACTTAACGGCTGCAACATATTTTGAATCTGTTATTTAGCTCTAACTAAAAGAAATTGTTCGGTTGTTTTACATTTGCATCTGGAATCAGGATGAAGTTGTGTAGGGGGCTCATGAAAGTGCAGATTATTATGTTATACCCAAATCTGTACAGGACTGTACTGTAAGTACTTATGCCTATCTAAAAGGAAGTCAGACTAACCGTAAAACAACATATGGATATTTAAATAAGGCCATGATATAAGCGTGGCTTTTCTTTAAACCTTCTTCAGGCTCATCCAAATATTTTATGCAATCCTTTATTCAAGTTTAGTCGAAATTAAAATGAGGATTGATGGAAATGAACACGCTTAACAACCTGTTTAGTTACACATTAAAACTGAATTGAGTAATCCAGAAAAATACTGTATCATGTTGATGGATTTATTAACACATGTTGGTGCTATGCACATCAAAACCAGACTTTTCTTCCCACCACTGCATCAATAATGTTTTATATTGCCTGCTCACAACGTGACAAAAACAGCCCCTGTTTGCAGATGCAATACAAGTCGTTCTATATAATAGCTTCTTGTGTCAGTATTGCATTGTTTCCACTGAGTAGCACCTGTTAGCATCAGTGTGAGTGCATGAATCAGAGCATAAAGTCTCCACAGCTCACAGCACACGCTTCAGATGCAACACAGCTCTGCAGGAAGTCACTTCACTTAAATGTTATTGCATCCTTTGTTGCCTTGGAAACTAGTTGGGGAAATGTGCAGCTCTGCAGCCATTTAATCACGTCTCCCGCCCCCGACTAAACCCCACCCAGGTTTAATGTTTGAACCCTTTAGTTTCTGGTTAAGGTAGTTTTGAGTTTAAGTGTGAATAGGGTTTTAACTAGAAGATACCAAAAGGAAACTTTCCCAGTTCATAACTGACTTTATAACAGATTGTTTTTAACAAATGATTATGACATATTCAGTAGTTTACTGTTTAATTATTCAGATGAGGATGAACCTTATTGCTTTCCCGGATGAAATGTGAACATTGGATTCAGCCAGGTTCTAAATCACACCTTTGTGCTATCAAAGTGACGGTTTCTGAATTCCCAAAGATGTAATTTCGAGAAAGCAGCCCTCAAACTTATGTTATAAATTCCTCTTCTCTCCAGTGCATACCTCCACCTCTCCTCGACCTACTGCCTACTTTCCATTCCCTGCAGATCACAATGTCACCCCGAGCATCATGGTCCACGGGGACTCCTGCCTGATCTCATCTCTCTACCTGTCACTCACTACTGCAAACAAAAAAGGCCACCACCTTAAACCCATCCGTCACTCCCACTGCACTCCTCACCACTTTCACTCTTCCCTCATTCATATCCAGCTCCACTCTTAAGATTCGATACAATACGTTATGCTACACTGTGACACGATACGTTTCACTACACTACGATATGACACTTGATACGATACGCTACAATTACGATGCAACACGACTGGATATGTTAGGATACCATACGTTACGCTACACTACAAATTATGTTAGCTGACAAATATTAAGACAAGAAACATTTAACATATTTGCCGTCCAGATAGTTAATGAATTGGTGGGGTCAGAAACATGTTGTTGGCCAGCCTCGATATGTTGATACAGTATGGTAACACTTTTATCCATAAACGCACCACTCCTCCAGACTTTCTCTTTACTTCTCCATCAACTTCCTCAGAGCTAACATCAGATCCGTAGTGCTCTTTGCTGGCATCAAACCGTCCTGCTTCACCTCATTTAACAATGTGGTTACATCCCAAAAAGTACAAGAATCATGCAACTGCACTAACTTCATCAACTGTGCTCTTCTACTTCACGGCACGGCAACTTCATTCATACGGCACATTTTGAAACACAAGGCAACTCAAAGGGCTTTACGAAATAAACATTAAAAGCATTATTAAGACACGTCGCAAATCTGCATTCTAACACATTTAAAAACAGCCATTAGAATCCCAATATAATACAAGTGCTGTATTTAGAGACAATAACAGATGACAACACACAATTAGATTTAACAGCAGCAGACAGATCACAATCAAGCAGAGACATGAAAAGTAAATATGTCGTCCTAATTCTAGCAGCCTTCATAAAAGTTACCCCCAGAATCAAAAAGAACACACAAAATGCACACAAGGTCAATGTGCAAGTGAAATAGATCACGGGTTTAATTAAACATGTATGGGTGCGGATACAAGCGGCCGTGATGGGTTTTCTCCGCAGGGTGGCGTCTCCCTTAGGGATAAGGTGAGAAGTTCAGTCATCCGGGAGGGACTCGGAGTTGAACCGCTCCTCCTTCGTGTCAAAAGGAGCCAGTTGAGGTGGTTCGGGCACCTAGTAAGGATGCCACCTGGGCGCCTCCCTAGGGAGGTGTTCCATGCACGTCCAGCTGGGAAGAGAGAGATCAAGGGGTAGACCTAGGACCAGGTGGAGGGATTATATCCCTTGGCTGGCCTTTGAGCGCCTTGGGATCCCCCAGTCAGAGCTGGTTGATGTGGCCAGGGAAAGGAACGTTTGGGGCTCTCAGCTGGAACTGCTACCTTTAAATGTTCAAAAACCTACATAACACACTACAGGAAAGGGAAAACCTCAAAAAGTATAATAGGGCCCTTTTAAGTATATACAGTTTGTAAGGCTGCATGGAAGGCCAACTTATTGAGTTGACTACGACACAGGAACAATTCAAATGTGCCGAATTGACACGCAACATTTATTGAAATGTTTCATTCTATTTATGAGCCTTCCCCTTGAGATCATGTTTTCAGGTCATTAATGCTTCATTTTTAGATTCTTGTGACATTCAATCAATGCAGCTTTAAATTGTTATTTCAGGAGTCTGCGTCTCTGATTGACATTTTGTGATTGATTCGCTGTGGATGTTTGTCTCCATCATAATGACATATAATGATTAGACTCTGACATCATTGAATGACATCAATAAATGTCATTTGATGTATAAACTCGCTTTCAGTAAAACTTGAAGAAAAGTTGGCATTTATAGATACTAATGGCCATTTTCATTATCAAGCACAAATCAAAGTGTTTGTTGATAGTGTGTTTGGAAAAGATAGAGCTCAAAGAAGACAGATGTATCTTGTAGGGAGAAGATTTATTAAGATTAATAAGATTTATTTTTAAATTGTTTTTGTGGGCACTATGTTAGTAAATCCAGCCAGCATTTTCAAATATATTCATGTACTGATGAACCCAGTTTCCATCCTATCAGGTTGTGCTGAGCTTTGAGGGAAACTTAAGCATTCAAACTAGGACTTAATCACTAAGCCAAAATAACGATTGTACTCCAGGAATGATCTGGGAAACACACCGAGTCAGCTTCTCTCTCCTTTCATCTTTCTCTCTACAAAGCAGAGGAGCTGGATTCTTTGAAAAATGACCTCAGAGAGAAAGGTAGACGGCAGCAAATGAGAAACTAAGTGTGTCACACAGGCAAACTTAAGCAGTTGCAGAATTAACAGGAAGAGGGCTTCAAAGCTGTTGGTGTCGCTCAGGGGCGGGGTGTTAGGGTACGGGGCAAAAGAGGTTTGGAGAAGAGAAAGGAGAGGAGGAGGTCAGGTCCGTCACGATTTAAAGAGACCGGTTTTAGCTTTTTTAGGGTTTCCCTTTCCTATAGTGTGTTAAATAGGTTTTTGTGCAGGTCTGCAAAGGCTAAGACTCTTTTCTTTACTTCCGTCACATAATTACATCAGTAACACTTCTATTGTACGCATTGTGTATGTAACACATTGTACGTGATACTGGGCGGGACATTTACACGTATCTCTAAGAGGTTGACCAATCCGACCAGCTGACCAATCAGAGCAGACTGGGCTCTGGTTTCAGACAGAGGGTGAAAAGAGGTGCTGCAGCACAGGCCGTATGGGAAAAATAGAGCGTTTTGAACATTAAGTAGAAGAGGCACCAAATACAAATGTGATCCTGAAAATAAGCATAATATGTCCTTTTTAATATAAATATAATAAATTAAATTGACTGTACTTAACATCATTTCGTGTCAGTCTGTGATGTCATTGGTCCCAAAGATACTGTTTCCACCCAAAAAGACGAACATCACCATGTCCTATATAATATGTTCCATTGTTGGAGGAGCTTGGGACCTACGATTTTCATTGCCATAACTACACTGTAGCTAATGTGCAGTGCATATGATAATAAAACCCTTGAATCTCTACAATGAGAAAGAGATGTCTGCAAATCACTGTATAATGTTTTATGGGCTGAATCTACCACCCAATATGATCCCTTTTATAGCACTTACTTAAATGATTAGGGTCTAACAGTTGCCAAATGCGCTAAAAGCAGAATCCTAATCTATTTTCTGTCTCCATTCATTTGTCTAAGACTCTAAGGCGAACCCAGCAGATTGGAGGCGTGGCTTAAGGAAAACTCATGAGTGCATGCTTTATGGGCCCAAATCCTCAGATGATCATGGCACTATTTGAATCGACAGTTTATCCGTTCTGGGTTTCATGCACCACTCATAAATTTTCATAGATATGAACAGCAGGCCGCCTCCAACTCTGTATCGAGTTCTCAATGGTCACTTGTGGTTTAAAAAAAACAAGATGTACAACAAAATCGACAAACTCTTTAGAACCATGGTTCACCATTGTGTCTGAGAGCACCAATTTAACACTAGAACATTTTTTTGTACCCGCTATTAGAATACATTGATTTTCAAGATACAATGTTCTTCTATTTATCATACTAGAACACAGGGTTAACAGTGAGTGTTGATCGCACAGTGATGAAACTTATACCAATAAAATCTGTGGACTCTCAGCTTTCATATGATATATAGTGTGCAGATAGCATGGTCTCTCTCTCTCTCTCTCTCTCTCTCTCTCTCTCTCTCTTCAATTCAATTCAATTCAATTCAATTCAAAGGGGCTTTATTGGCACGAAAGTTAAATTAAACAATGTTGCCAAAGCATCACAATACAAAATAATTAACAACATTAACATACATTTCAAATGTTTACATATTATTGATGATATATATATACAGTGATACAATTACATTTCAACACGTGTGTGTGTGTGTGTGTGTGTGTGTGTGTGTGTGTGTGTGTGTGTGTGTGTGTGTGTGTGTGTGTGTGTGTGTGTGTGTGGTTTACGTGAAGCAATCTCGTCTTAATCCGTCTATGGGTGACTAGAATTGTGAGTTTTCTCTCGTAACTGTAAGAAATTGTTGGAATCCTAGGTCGGGGCTCTGTGGAGGTGAAGTTTCGGGAAGGTTTCGGTTCCTCGGCCATGGGGTCTCTTCTTCAGGGATACAGTCGACCCGACTCCGTCGACGGGGGAGAGTCCGATGAGACTGGTCAGAGAGTTGTTGTGACGAGAGGTTTGTGTTAGTGTCAGTTTCGTAATATTGGTTACATTGCTGTTTGATAATAATGGTTGTAACCCTTCTTTTTTCTTTGATTTTCGGTTCATCTAATCTACAATGGGGACCGATTTGTCTCTCATCCTCGACCGTCTCATAGAGAGATGACAGTCTCTATCTCGTCTCTTCTAGGATTGTTGCAATGTCCGAGTCACTGGTGTTTGACCGTTAGCTTGTCTTTGAGTTTTCGAGGACCGTTGGTTTTCTCTTTTTATACAACCCAGTGACATGCATGTCCACTCTGACTCTGTCTCCTAGTGAAGGAGTGCGACTTTACGGTTGTAAGTTGCTTCAATTCCTCGTAAATAGACCTTGTTCAACTGAGACATTTAGGTCAAGTTCCTCCAACTACTGGGTAGAGTCTGAGCACTACTGATGAGGATCTCTTCCTCTGTTCCGTGTGGGAAGCCGGACGGTTATTACAGTATGGTTCACGGTGTCTGGACTCCCTGTCGCTTACTTGGGTGTGTGTGTGTGTGTGTGTGTGTGTGTG